CAGCGGCGCCATGATACAGGACTACATAACTAAAAAGCACGAACAGTTTACGACATGAAACTAAACGATACATTCGCCTTTTTAGTTACAGATAAAATGATAATAACAACACTCCAGCCGCTCACATGAACTTAGACTTCGAGTCCAAAGAAATAGTTGTATACATTATACTATTTACTGAACATTACACATTATTTACTATTTATTTTTATAACTATAAAAATATATAACGGAATTTTTAAACGAAATTATTATATAAGGCAATGAATCTGTTTAAACATGGCCTTTAATGCAAAAGTGCGTGGGTGAAAAGTTAAACCCCCCACCATTTGTGACCTATTTCTTAGGCTAGACAGAATATTTAAAAGCACACCATAAACATTTCTTATCCACCGTTGAGGTTAGGTTAAAGGTACCACAATAAAGACTTTTTATGCAAAATTTCAGTGACATGTCCCAATATTAACACCCTCTCCATTAAAATCATAATGCACAATTTCATTTCCCCTTTTTCTAACATTTTTTTGGTAGAGGGACATTTTAACGGGGCTTATCTAGACAAGATCCCAATTAAGTAATACGTTATGATTGTTTTTCTTTTGGTAGTATGTGAATGGTGAATGTTATATTTCACGTGCAAAAGTTACTGCTAAGCCAACCTACCGCCACCTCTCCTTTTGCAAGCGCTCTCAAAACTCGACTTTACTCCCCCCCCCCCCTCCATATACCGCATGAACGTTATAATGGATGTCCCAACGGGATCGGGCTAGAGTTAGGGTCAAAGTACAGCTTAAAAACCAATGTCTATGGATATCAGAAAAAACCTGTCATATCTGGGGGAAATCGCTAAAGCTGTCAAAGCTGACCAGTCACATTTCCCTCTATAATCGTTGTAATTTATGGGAAAAACAGAAAGTAATTTCAAAAAGATTTTAATGGAACTTTCTGTACAAATGGTAAAAAAAATTCCATACACCTCGATAAATGGCTAGGCCGTATGGGAAAACAGTCGGTCATACTCGAGGCCATCGTCGAGAGCTAAAAACTGACCGCGAGTGAAATTCTCCTTATTCAAAAGAGCTATATATCGGAAAAGGTTTCTTCTCTACGACCCTTCCCCCCTCTCTTTCCCCATCATATTTTGTGAGGTAGTAGACCGATACCCTGGTATAAGAAAAAAATGGTATCTACATACTGTCTTATATTGTCCTGTTTCCTGTACAGTCAAAATGTAGTTTGCTTTATTAGTGCTTTGTTAAGGCATTGATAATATAACAGGGCCTTTTATGATAATGGTATCGTTCATAATATTCTATTTTTCACAGCCATAATTTTAATTATGCGTTATCAAAATTACTAATTTTAGCCATTATTTTTCTCTTTCTTTAGTGACTGTTCATTGCAAACTATAAATTCGGTTGAGCAACTACAAATATATAACTTGCAGTTCGGAGATGATAATTTGGAGGTACGACACCCAAATGCTATAGCAGTAAATAATATTACTGGTCATTTGGTTGTTGTAGACACAACCTGGAACAAGGCTGTGCTTTATAAAACACCATCCAAACCTTACAGTTACAAAAAATTTGATCATCCAATTGTCGATGTTTCATTTTATCCTATGACATCCAGTGATCAGACTGAACAGTTTTGTGCTATGGGTCGGCGTGCTGATGTTAAGGGAATAATGGTTTATACAGCAACCTTCAATGCTGACCCTAAAGATTTCCATTGCGTTTACCAGAAAAACCTGCGAGACGTCAGTGGTATTTTTGTACTTGAACCAAATATTTTGTTCATTTCTTTGCCTTTTGCAAACTCAGTGATTAGAAGCATCAATGATAGTCAGTTTATTGATCTAGCCACTAGGTCTCACCATGGACTGTTTTATCCAACTCATATAGTGTGTACAGCCGTTGGAGAAATCGTTGTTGCAGATACTGGTAATCACAGAATTGCTGTTTTTTATGGACCTGAATTCATGGGCTTTGACTTTTATGGTGAATTTGGAAGTGAATATGGCCAATTCTTTTACCCATTAGGTATTGCAGCTGATTCTCATCGACATCTCTATATATGTGATTCAAATAACTACAGAGTACAGGTGTTTGATTCTAGCTTCAAGTTTGAAAGTTGTCCTATCAATCGTACCTTTCTGATGTCGAAATCTGTTTCTCAGGATGTTAAACCTGTAGATTGTGCAGTAAACAATAATCAAAATTTGGTTATTCTATTTAGAGGAAGAGGATTCATTTCCATTAAGGTACTTTTTAAAAATGATTTATCTTATTCCTAGTTAATGTTTAAAAAAATATCACGACTTTATGAAAATTGTAAGGTAAGAAAGGTGTCACATTGATTTTCTGTCTTATTTCCAATTTTTATTTATGATTAATATGAATGGGTTAATTAATATAATGATATAAACCCACAGGTATTCAGTTACTTTGACCCCCTATATTGCCACACAAATGAAGATACAGTGAATATGTCAATCAGAGGACAACATTCTTGTTGGAAGTGTTTGTTTTGCTGCAAATGTGCGGATAAACTTACAGAAAGGCAAAGTGAATATGCAGTGTTGAACTAACTTCTTTTCCATCTATCTTCTTAATCATAATTTATGATTAGTTAAAATTTGATTTGATGAACCTGCAATCCACTTTTAGATTAAACTGCTAACTACTGTCCATTTATATTGTCAAAGTTCATTTTTAAATGCTTTTAAAAGTTAATTTTGCACTAGTATTTTAAAAATGTATTATTCAGCTATTGTAATTTTAAAAATTAAAGTACACAAAAGGTAGAAAGACAAACCATTAATAGTAAAGGGAGGGAAAAATGCACCTGGGTTAAATAGTCATACCATAATTACGTCTGTAGGCATCTCTGGAGGGGGTCGCACCTCACCGCATGATACCATTTAGGGGGCAGATACCAATGCAAAAATTGGAGAGGGAGGATAGAGGGTGACATTAATTATGACGTAAGTTGGTTAACAATACTACATCCAGCTGTATTAATAACCTGTAGACAAAACATCGATACTATTAACAGCTATCACACAGGGTAAGGGGGTTAACAGAAGTTATGTTGAGTATTTTTACCAACCGAAACGTCAGCCAACGACAGGGGTGGGGTGACATTAAATTGTTTACAATGGATTTTCCACTAGAATTAATAGTTGGATTAATATAACGTGTGCACACATTGATGCTACTGGGCTAAATGAAAGGGTGCTGTTATAGTAATTGAAGTTTTCACAGAACAAAAAATGTACCAATCAGACTGAGTTACACCGTCCACTGAAGCGGATTGTGGTGGCCCGATATGAAAAAAAATTCTTATAAACATTTGTTGCTTGGACGTTTCTGCTAAACAACTTATCCATGTTAGATTCCTAGTGTGCATAGGTTGAGGGTGGTGTCAGTAAAATAGTCAATACAATACAAAATTGATTGTGCAAAATGACTTCAATAATCTTTCATTCGTTTTTTAAAATGATTTGTTAGTTATAAATAATTGTGTTACACCGCTTTTTACACGTTCGACATGTATGAAGGATTTGACCTACACTATTGGCTACACCATTTAAAAATAAGTTGCTTGCCCACCATCAACATTTTATTAAACTTCGATTACTGTTTAACACAAATTATCGAGACCTACATGCTTATATCGAAGGTAATTGTAATGTTTGTTTTCTGAAACGTGTAACATGTTCTGTAAGTGTGAATGCTTAAGTATAATTATAGTTCATTGGAGAAAATGTACCAGATAAAATTAAGTTGAAGCGGGTTTTGTGTTCTAGACATGTATAAGAGTAGGCCTATACATGTCGTAAGTATAAACGCTGTGTAAGGGGTTGAAAAATTTAATAGGTTCCTTAATATAATTAAGTGGCGTAACTGGGTTAAGAATTAAACTTTAGCACTAACTCACGGAAATGAATTAATATAACATTTGGTTTAAAATAACTCCTTTATAATTGTAACTAAACAATATAAAAATATCAATGAAAAAAAGACTAATATATAATGCTTGTTGCAATGTGAAAACAAAACTCATCGACGTCAGTATTGAGATGTTTCCCGTTCAGGACAAGGTGTGAGTTTTCTGAGTCCAGCAACTGTTTTACGTTACACTACAGCTATTGGCGATGGTAGACTTTTGTGTCGCTATTATTTAGCTATTAAACAATAAACACAAGGGCGCATCCTCTTTGACGCCAATGAGAAGAAAATTGCCTATAGATCTTAGTTATGATTATTAGTATCCTAGTTTGCCGCATGCGTCCACAAGTTTCTATTGTCACCAGCCGCCAGTAAGAGCACACGCACGCACACCAGCGATATTTTTACAGTTTTCGCCGTTTTACACCTCCCTTCTTTAAACCGAATATAAAGGACTAGCGTACCCGTCGCCGCGCGATGCAGCGTGAAATTTAGAACTAGAACACACTTCGACGATCGCCCGGGTAGGGGTGTATTGGAGCGCTACTGGAAGCCCTCGTTACTCTACCGCAGGGGCGCCGTATGGCGGTTTAATCATCGAATATCATATGCCACCGAGTCAATATTGTCAAACTTATGTAGGCGCCATAGTGCTCATTGGATAGCCCGAGGCGCCAAATCTTACCCTACCAGCGCGCCGTCGGACGCGCCTGATTCAATTCAGTGAACGACTATAATACCACATCTTATCCATGTTCTATCACACTCTTTAAAACGAATATATTCACTCTTGCACACCCGAAAAGCCCATTGAGCCAAATAGCACGGGGCGCCAGAGGACTCTCGTGATTAGATATTCTAAGAAATTTTCACCTTTACAGAGGTGGGGTGACCTGGGGCAATGCCACGCCCTACTTTTTTGTAATTATTAAAATATTTTGTATTACCACTACCACAATATCTAGTAGGGTGTATACTTAAACATGTGAAATTTGTATCAATGTAAAAGAAAACATAAAGAATTCACAAAACAAAAAACAGCTTTTAGATGTTTAACTTTTGATTACCACTACAGAAAGGATGGGGTTATCTCAAACCGTACTACTGTAATTTTTTTCTAAAGCTTATTTAAAAGTTTGTAGAAAACAATGGATAGTTATTTGGAACAGCGTCTCTTCATCAATGGAAGAAAAGAATGACAATTTAACCATTTAATAATATAACCTTTTCTTCAAGCGTTTCCATAGGCGCCTTGTCTTATACAGCTGTTTTGGGCTGATAATTGCAGACATTCTGAAATCAGAACCAATGCATTTTTTTATTTATTACTTATTTAATGTAATGTTAATAAGCTAATTACTACTGGCTTTCAACCCTGCATTAATAAAATATAAGCTTGAGTAAAAATAATACGGTTTAGAATTTTCCCACACCAAAGGGTGTGGAATGAACATGACCGAGTTGACGAGAATCCTTCCATCATTATTGTTGACATGCAAAATAAACCGGGAGTGATCTCCCCTAAACTTTCTCGAATATTCTTATATAAAACAACAGGGGATGGGAACTCGGGCTACAGACATGATTTTTAATCCATTTTAAATACTTAAAGTTTTAAAAATAGAATAAAATCTCGTAGACAAAAGAATTGCACACCAAGTGAACGCCAAATAAAAAAAAGTGCATAATAGTGCGCAATATTATTAGTACTTTAAAAATTGACATTAGTTTTTTGAGAAATCGGAAGTAGCGTAAATTACTACTTCCGGTCAACGGAAATTACTCAAAATTTAACAGAAGGTAAAGAATTAGATCTTTTACTTACATGTGAAATTTCATTTATCTATCAGATTATCTATCTCCAGTTATAGACTTTAGAAAAAATTGAAAGTAGAATAAGTCCTACTTCCGGTTACCGGAAATCGCTGAAAAGTTTATACGGAACTACTAATTCGATATAATACGTGTATATGAATAAATTTCTCTAGATCTAGAATCTAAAGATCAGCTGTCGAAGGAAGTTATTTTTAGATCTAGAATCTAGGTCAAACCAAAATTAATAAGTTAAAAATAAAAACCATTTTAAAAACAGAATAAATTTTTAAATTTCTTTATTAAACTATTTTAGTCGTTAAATATTAGATCTAAATCTTCGCTTTTTAGCTTCACGGATCATCTAATTAAAGAATACAAGTGATTTATCTATCTAGCTAGGTTCTAGATCTAGATCTACGAGAAAACTCGACTTAACCAAACCAGTCATAGAATCTAGAATCTAGATAACTCTTACTATCTAGATCTACATAATAATGATTGTCTATACCACGGGTTCCCAAGCTGGGGGTCGCGACCCCCCTGGGGGTCGCGAAGGTCTTTCTGGGGGGTCGCCAACTGGTATACTAAACCTTAGTAATTTGAAACAAAACATGAATATTTAGAAGAATTTTTTAAATTCGGCTTCATTAACATCACTGGAAATGTAATAGAGAAGAAACAAAGCGCACTGTACAAAGTTGTTCTCAGTCACGAATCTATGAAATCTTCAAAACTAAAACGTCATTTGAGACGAGTCATTCGGAACACACCAAAAATATATGGAGTTCTTTCGTCTATAAGAAGCTAGTTGCAAACGCCAGAGACTTGATCGAACAGGAAGTTTTCACCAGCATTAGTGCAAGCATCAAATGAAGTCACGATAGAAAATGCCAAGCAAAAAAAAAAAAAAAAAAAAAAAAAAAAAAAAACAATAGGAGAAAATCTCATCAAACGCTGCATGTACGTAAATGTTAAATAACACCATTGTTTGCTTTTCAAGTTGATAAATCAACACACGTGAGTTCGTGTTCGCAGTTGCTGGTCTGTGTCTATATTCATGCGGATGATAGCAAAGAAGAGTTGCTCTTTTGTGAAGATAGCATGGAGAAAATAAATACCTTTTTTGAAACTGGATGATTAAAATGGGTTAAAACGGATGGTGCGCCATCTATGTTTAGCTCAAAATCGGGCTTTCAGAAAACAGAAAAGATTTAGCTTCCTAACCACTGCTCTAACCAATCGACATCAAGAGTCCATTGCTAGTATAAGTCGTAAATTATATAAAATCTGGAGCCTTCAAAGAACTGAGCAAAAACATAAATAGTGATCACGAGGTTCTGCTCTTCTACACTACAGTACGCTGGCTGTCAAACGAAAAGTTGTAAATTGTGTTTTTGAATTGAAATCTGAAATCAAATTGTTCTTGGGAGTGCAAAGGAAACAAGACTTTTTGGTATACTTAAAACGACAGAGTGGTTGGAGAGAGTATCTTACCTAGCAGATATATTCGAACATCAAGATAAGCTCAACCTGAAGCTTCAGTGAAAATGAACGAATATTATAACTTTCCATGATAATCTCGGGGCATTTTTATCAAAGCTGCAAAATCGGTAAAGAAAACAAATCTTGGAAGTATTGTAAATTTGAGAAACTCTGCGGTGTGGTAGATGAATCTGATTGTGAGATAATTAAAATTTTGAAAGAAGCGATTTCTGGGCATCTTGAATCTCTTGAAAATGAACTGCATCGCTATTTCTCTGAGCTGAAAAAAGAAGAATCTGCATTTACGCATTACCCATTCTCTTCTTCCCTTGATGTTGCCAGCATTCCCGATGAATTACAAGATGAATTCTTTGATTTGCAGAATGATTCCGTGTAAGATGAAAAACTGCAGACACAATTTTGGTGTAGTATTCACCATTCATACCCAAACGTAAAATTGATTGACTTTTCGAGAATATATTTTCAACACTATTCTTCGATTAAAAACAAAATTAAGATAATTATAATGACATAGGTTGGCGTTAACAATTTTTTTTAAAATTAAAAACTTAATCACGAAGGTTTAGTGAATAGTATGCAATTTAACTCATGCTATTAAAACAGTTATCAAGAGTACTTCATATTGAAAATCTACTAGAAAATCTTATTTTAGTGCTTAATTTCCATACTAATTTCGGCTTTTTAATTCTATGGGGGTCGCGGGTCACTTACTTTTTATAAAAGGGGGTCGCCACTCGAAAAAGGTTGGGAACCACTGGTCTATACTAAACTATTTCAGACCTTCATTGTTTTATATAAATCTTTGTTTGTTTATCTATGGAATTGGTTAAGTGAAGAAAAAAAATAATTTGAAATAATACTAGTCTAGAATCATGGCCTATTCGCGTAAATCAAGTTTCTTAAAGCAGACTCAAACTCTTAATATAGAGTACAAAAAAAAAAAACGTCATTGACGTGACGAGCCTAGATAGCTAAGGTGTTAATGAAATAGACTTTCATGCGGGTGTGGCACGGGTTCTAGAGTAGTTTTGGGTAGGTGTATAGTTCACCGGAGACGTCAGTATATGAAGAAATAGTGTGGTCAGACCCATGCTCAGCCGAAATCTGTGTTTTCAAAGACAAAAAAAATGTCTGAGTTGGGAGGACAGTGGGCAGGTGAGGTAGAGTAGACCTGTTTTGTGACCTCAGCATATGAAGAGATTGTGTTGTCAGACCCATGCTCAGCCGAAATCGGTGTTTTTAAAAGACAAAAACGTCTGAGGTGTGACGTCTTTTTGAATGTGGGGTCTGGTTTTTTTGTGACGATAAGTGAGAGACGTGATGTTTTTACTTTCTCGTATATAGGAAGTATAGAGAAAGTCATGTAATAGTGCAAAAAAAAACAAAATCGAGATTTTTACAAATCTCTACGTTTTACACCTCACTGATACGGAAAAACATAATTTTGCAATCTTGTCCGTATGTCTGTGTCTGTCTGTGTGTGTGTGTGTCTGTCTGTGTGTAAACACGATAACTTGAGTACCGTTTCAGCTAGGTTGATGAAATTTCATATACAAGTGTTTTATGAAAATCGTAGATCCGTATAAACTTTTGAGCGATTTCCGATAACCGGAAGTGGAACTTTTTCTACTTTGAATTTTTCAAAAGCATATAACTTGAGTGAAATTTCATACGTAAGTAAAAGATCTAATTCTCTACCTTCTGTCAAATTTTGAGTAATTTCCGTTGACTGGAAGTACTAATGTACGCTATTTCCGATTTCTCAAAAAACGCATGTAAATTTATAAAGTACTAATAATATTGCGCACTATTATGCACATTTTGTTTTGGCGTTCGCTTGGTGCGCAATTCTTTTTTCCACTAGATTTTATTCTATTATTAAAAGTTTAAGTAAACAAAAATCATGTCTATATTCCGAGTTGCCATCCCACGTAGTGTTATAATATATTAGAATATTCGAGAAAGTTTAGGGGAGATCACTCCCGGTTTATTTATGGATGACCCCCGAAACTCACAGTTATCCAAGGGATGACGGGTAGTCTAGTAAAGTACTAATATTCCGCACTATTATACAGATATTGTTTGCCATTCACGTGCTCAATGCTTTTTTTCTACGAGATTCTATTTTAAAAAGTTTAAGAAATTAAAAATTGATGAAAAATCATGACTATATTCCGAGTTGCCATCCCCCGTAGTATTAAATAAGAATATGTTTAGGGGAGACCACTCCCGCTTTATTGTTTTCAATATCTGTGATAAATGTATAATTTTTGGCTTTAAAAAAATTGCTTGGTTAACGAAAATGCTACAAACATCAGTTATATCCAATCTTTAGTAAAGTACAAAAAAATCAAACTGTCGGACTTTTATGCACCATATTTATAACTATCGTAAATGATTTTTTTAAATATTTACACGGGGCCTTTCGAAAAATTCGAAACTAGTCTCGGTTGTGTCCAGCCATACACATGCTATTGAAACATCATGCTTTTCATTTTTAAAAAGAAAGGCACCTTAGGACATCATTAATGTTGTCCGTAATAACAAAAATGATTAGTCTAAGGTAAACTCAGTAAACAGTTGAACGCATTTGAAAATCATATAACGTACACTTTTTGAAAAAGTGCATGGGATGTACTTACGTTTGGATGTTTGACGGTTGTTGCAGATAAAATAAAAGAATGGCTCTGACCGTAGAAGAATTCTTTGCAAACCGAAAATAGAAGCACATGAAATAAGTCAATCTATGCATATATATAATTCTCTTCTTGGAGACCATAGAAAACACCAATCGCTACCACCCCCACCCCCACATGGTCTGGTGAGCTGTGTTTCACGCTAAATATTTACAATCGTCGAGTTTGCTTTAGTGACGGCTATTAGGAGCATATAATTTAGTTTGAAACGATTTTAAACTTAGAGGAGGCTGCTTTCACGGGTGGGGGGGGGGGGGGGGGGGGAAGGGGGGTTTGGGG